TGAGGGGGGGGGGGTAGCATATATAGATATATATTATACATATGTATATATATATATAACAAGTATACAGTTTTTTTGCATACCCACATGGTCGGGGATAACGATGAACAAAGCTGCCAGCTGGCTGACAATCAGCACAATCGAATTGCGAAGAGCTTCAGAAAAGGGTTTTCACGTTTGGATTCTGCGGATCCATTTGTCTTCGGGGTATACAGGGGCTCCCCACAGTTTAGAGATGCGTGGCTTCAGCAGCTTGAGACGTCGGCGTAGAGAAATACTCGTGCATGGAAGTGAAGTCAGACACGGTAATACCAGACTGTACTCAGAAACAACGTCTATGACCACAGCCCAAGTCAAGCTCCCAAGTCCAATGCCTAAGCCCGTGTGCCAGGACCTTAGATCCCAGTCCCTGCACACCCTAATCCGAAAGGCCAGAGCCCTTTTCCTTTCACCCATTCCCACGCTGGAATTCTGAAGATTCGCTTGAGACTGGGTGGGCAACAGTGCCTTCACTCAGCTATAGTCTAACAGTCTAAATTCGTATTTCCCTTAATAAACCCTATATATAGTACTAGTAGCACGAAACCTGAACCTCACAACCTGAAGTTTGAGACCCTGATTGCTAACGAAAGATTACAGGGAAGCGCTGCTGCAACACGAATCTAGTTTCTATGCCTGCAACAGATGCTCCAGGTCAATACCTCGGACTCCGCATGGGTGGCTCGTGCTGTGGCTGCCGCGGCCAAACTGGAGGAGGCGGCGGCGCCCGAGGTCGGAGGGTTTTCGACCGAGTTGTGGTTGTGTGGATTCACTGTTGAAGTTGAAGCATGTATTTACCAAGGTGTTTCAAGTCTCATGCAAGCATTCTACGGTGTGACATGTTGCTTCTCATCATCTCTCTGCTAGCAACAACTGGACTTGTCCTGGATATGCTCCTGCGTTCATGCATTCCTTCCATGGGTATCCGATCACCTCACCAGTAGCTATTCCCAGTCGTCGACGCTACATCAAGCAGTGATTAGTCCCGCCTTTGCCAGGCAGTGGCAGACGTCCCCATCCATGCCGCAACTGAGGCGCTGACTGTGCTTTTTCTTCCTCTGTGCTGCTGCGTGTCATTTGGCGTTTGAACCGTTTGTAACTTTTTTGATAGGCCTGCTGGCAACAACGTATCTCCCCGTCTCGCTCCCTCTCTCTCTCCCTGTCTCGCTCTCTCTCTCTCTCTCCCTTCTCTCTCTCTCTCTCTCTCTCTCTCTCTCACTTCCCACCGTTGACTCGGTGAAGTAGAGGCTAGTAAGGAGCGGACTAGGCAGTTGCTCAGCCTCAGGTGCAAAAAGGTTTCAGGGTAGCATGTGCTCTGAAAGATAGCAAAGAACATAGTTTAGTTTATAGCTCTGTATATATTAATGCGTAGCAGCAATCATAAGAATAAAAGAGAGTGTGAACGATTGTTCAGGTTGGGTTCAAGATCCTCCCATGCTGGAATGTGATAATCTGGGGAGGGCCAACTATGTATTCTGAATACCTTCATGGCACCCTGACAGTTGATCTCTCCTTGCAGCCAACTCCCGCTCTACAGGAAGCTTCAGCCAACATCAGCGAGATTCGCGAGTTTCCCTGCTACTGTGGGGTCAGCTCCTAAGACTTGGACCTGATCTGGTGATTTAGTGCGCTGGCCCGGTACTATATTGGAGTACTTCTTACTTGAGGTAGAGATGTTCATGACGTGGGATGCATGGATTACAACGAAATCCTGCTTGGGAAGGGTTTCTACCTGCCAGTTAGGGGTATGAGAGGCTCCTTGGAGGTTCGTGCGCCATCAGACAAAAAAGCTATGGCTGGCATTCTGCACCCAAGCTCGGGAGCCTAGAGTCCCCTGAAGTAGATAGAATATGGGGTATATGGGGATCTTATTATAATATACCCAAAATCATATTCTATCTATTTAATGGGAGTATATGTCTTCAGGCATACGTGTTGAAGTTTGGAAATTACAATCATGTCAGTGATGTTCTGCCAGTGGGGATTTCAAGACTGTCTGTCCCTCAGGAGACTTACCAGCAAATCGTTCAAGTCCTTACCTAAACAGGGACCCATCTTGTGGAAAAACGTGCCAACATGTACGCATCCGACACAAATCAAATGACACACCCCGATCGTACCATTGAACGTCCGAGCAATGAAGTTTGTCAAAGCTTTTCCGGCCAAATGCTTCATACACGGACCCTCCCTCTGCAATGAATCCGAAGGGTCCCTGGCGTGCCCTGAGGGTACGCTTTTTCAGGAGCCTCCTATGTGAGCTATGGTCTAAACTCCCCGTATCCCCTGTATAACTCCCATATAGCCCCTTTCAACGAGTTTAAACTATACTATAGTAACTATAGCTCATGTATGCATCCAGAGGCTGTCATGACCAGGGTGACTGGCGACCCCATTTCCGTTTCCATTTGCCACTGCTCCATCTGCAGGCGAGATTTTGATGCCATGTCCTTTTCAGGATAGGAGGTAGTTTGCGGGTGGGTCGTAAGGAACGAAGGAAAGCGGGCTAGAGGGACTAAAAAAAGCAGTATATGGGGACGGCGGAATCCATTTCTCCATTGCGTGCGAAGCACCACTCAAAACATAGTTTGAGGCAAAGAATTTAGGCTCACGACGTTGGTGTTGAAAGGCGACTAGACTTCGATGGTGAAGGTGTCCAGGATAATTTTTTTCTCCGACAGTCTTTCCCGCCCAAGTTGAGGCCTTTCACGTGGCTCTCCTGACAACGTTTTCCAAAGCAGAAAAACGAGTTGTTACTGTTGTCCCATTACACACCTTCCCCAGGCATTTCTCAGACTTTGGATATGGGTGGTTGTCAAAATTATGATCCCTTTTAGATCCCTATTTTAATACGGCACCTAATATTTAGGGTACCCAAAAAGGGACCATCATTTTGACAACCACCCATATCGATTTTTAAAATCAGGCGGCTCTCTGGTGCTCCTTTCGTCGCAAGCGCTGTATTTCGGCCGGAGCGGGTGGAGCTGCGGAGCCCAACAGCCCAGAAGGGTAAAGGGACATGGCTGAGGGCTTTACGGCTTAGGGTTTAGGGTTTAGGGTTGGGTATTGCTTCCCCCCCGGAGAGCTTGAGTCTGGAGAACATGGGGGGCTGCACATGCGTATATCAGTATGATCTTTGTATTTTCTGCGGTTGGGAGGGGCAACATGGTTTTAAGTTTCAGTCCACAAGTCTTGGGGTACACCCTGCCAGAGCTACATTCCATAGCGTTCGGGCTTCTACAAATGCGTCATGATGCTCGGCGGTTGTGCAGAAAGTCCTAATGAGCTTGAGTGTTGCTGAAGTGGCGTATGTACAGCATTATCACCGCAATTGTTGATGGTTTTCGCTCGGAAACTCGCTCCTAGTTCACCTTTCGTGGCGGTTTGGGCTGTTGTCACGATCTTTTTGGTGCGTCGGATCTACGGGTCGGGGTTTCGGAACCTTTTTGTGTTTGGGCTTGCTGCTAAAGTGTAAATAGGGTTGCATCATAAAGGTCAAGGACTTTTGTGTCGGTAGACGTGCAACAGCAAGTTCAGCACAAAGGGAATTTCTAGTTTTGCGTATCTCATTCTGGTACAAATTCCAGAGGGGCCAATGTCACAGCAGCCACTAAAATCGAAAGCCCAAGAGCCCAGATCGTCCGAATTTCCTCACAAAGCCTGTCTGAGACACGAATCCGAATCCTAGTGCCGAAGTTAAGAGCCTTCAAAACCTGAACTCTGCTGTAGCGCGGTAACCCCCAAAAACGTTCTACCCGTCTAAAATCCTCGTCTTACCCTAAGACCCCTGACCTCGCCAGAAATTGCTGAGCCCCCCCCCAAACCCCCAAAACCCCTAACCCCTGACCACCAGAAACAACAAAAACATTCAAAGGCCGTGAAGGTGGTGAGCCAGAGCTTTTTGAGCTGCAGACGTCGAAGCAGGCCTTGAACCTCTTGGAAACTAGCCTGGGACTTCGAAGGAGCTATAGTTTTGACTCTATTAAAGGGGGTTTATGTAGGGACTATATAGGGGAGTAGCATGGGGGTTACTAAGGGGGATAGTAGACTATGGCTCAAATGAACAACCGCCTTATTGTTGCTCTTGTTATGATGCTAAAAGCAGTGAGAGTAAGAAGAACAATTACTAGTAGTATTTCTGTTTACAAGGAACCCCCCAAGTCTCTGATATAATCCCTGGCGTCCCCAGCGTATACGAGGTTTAGCCGACATATACACGACGCTTGCCATTGCCAAGACAGGGACTGTATCGCAGGGTTACCCTGCAGTGGCGATATCCTGGATCAACTTCCTCATAATATCGGCTCCATCTATTCTGGGTGCGCATGCTCCGTTTTTGTTGCTGTGAGATGCTCATTCGACTCCCTGTTGTCTGGGGAGAATCCCGAGGATAACGATCATTACGCATGGCAACCTTGCCACCGGATGGTGCTGCATATGTCTAGATCTGTCCAGAAGTCTTTTTTCCCGAATGCTCCGCAGAA